GTAAGACAGGTGATTACAGGTGTTTTACATGGGTTAAGACTTTTTGTTGACAGATGATTAGAGAAGGTTCTTTACAATACATGGATTAAGAATCATTTGTTGACAGATGATTAGAGCAGGTGCTTTACATGGATTAAGAGTCTTGTAATGTCTTTTCAACATTAAAATAAGTTTGAATACAGACTTTTTTTGTGTATTTCTGAATTTTGAACATATTTTTGGAATAAATAGTACTGTGATCCTGTTTTATGGTTTTTATATGTTTTTTTTAATGTTTATGTAATTATATAGGCTCCTCTAATGAAATTATTTGAATATCTATTAGCTTAGAATGTTATTTTGAGATGCGTTAATTCAATGCAAAGAGAAAAGCTGATGCAGAATTTTATTGTCTTGTGTAAAGACAGGAAATGTTTTGACAACTTGAGATTGATTTGATTTAAAGTTGAGATATTTAAACTGCATGTGCCAATTTTGTAAGATTGTAATCTTGACATGAAGCAGGATATCAATGAAGGAAAGAGAATGGCTGTTTTTTAATTGATAGGTGTAATTTTAAGATGCGTCAAGAAATGATCAGATCACAGAAGTGTTAGCTATTGAATTTTTCTATAGTTTTGGTGGTTTTTGGACGAGTTACAATGAGGTTTTAGAAGTTCTTCATGTAGATGTCACTAAGAATAGAGGAGATAAGGGACTCATCATCAATACCTTTAGTTTGTTAAAAATAATTCATCTTGTAATTGAAAATAGATATTGCTGTGCATAGGGTAATCAACTCTTAAGTGGTATCAATGAAAAGCATGTTACAGCAGGTCAATAGATCCATCAGCTTTTTATTTCTGTTAAGTGATGGATAGTATCTCTTTTACAGGGATTTTGGTGAACAAAGTATTTATGTGAAAATTAACCAATAAGGGAATGAATCAAAATGTTATATGTTTGACAGTTCACCAAGCAGGTTATCCATTTCAGTAACTTTCAGTTAATTCTGAGCATTCACATATAACATGGATGAGAATATCCTGTTAATCAGCAGATTCCCCCCCCCTTTTTTTTTGGTTTACTCTACTGGCCATTCACAAGGTCTGATGATAAAAAACTTACAATATTATTTGAGATGAAGGTGAAAAAATTACAATATTTTGCATATGCTACAGAAAACCTTTGTGACAAGTCCTGGAAGTAAACACTTTAGTGTGAAAGTCTGCTTGACCAATTGCAAACAGTCTTTCTCAATCATGCTCAACTCTGCTCAATAGTTTGGTGCCATGTTAGAACTAGTGCATGCGTGTTATTGTTATTGAAAATTGTGATGAAAGTCTATGATGAAAATACACTCAAGGTACATGGAAAAATTAAAGGTCCTTATCTGAAAAAAACACACATCAGATTGAAATATGAACATTCTTAAAAGAATTAAACTCCTGTTGTGAAACGTGTTTTTTTTCTGCTGTTAGTAGTGCACAAATAAAGGAGAGGTACACATTTTAAAAGCAGTAATGTTAATATTAATTCAGTGTCAATATCTAAATATTAAGTCAAAATGCACAAGATTTCCATTAAATATAACACTTTTCTCTCCTCCCTCACCCCTCTTTCCAAACTGTGGTGCTGATCATGGCTCGTCTGTGCTTGCCATTAATCTCCATTTGTTTTAGCCTGGCGGATTCTTATTTCTGTTATACATATCTGTTTGAAACTCATTTTATTTCTTATGAGTATATCATTTTTTGTGTTTCATAATAATTAATTTGTCCTCAGTCATTTGTTTTTTCACTTAGAATCTGTGCTGTTACAAATTCTAATAGTTATCACAAATTTTCTGAGATAGTGAATCTATAAATACTTCTTTCTTTTTTTACAGGAACAAAATGTTGTGAAGAATGAATCGCCCAGCATGTCAGCAGAGCATGACATTATTTCCATTTTATCTGGAAGTGAGATTGAATTTGACAATGAGGGTGAGGAAGAAAATGATAAGTCATGGAAAATTAGCAAACTAAAAGCTGGAGTCTCCCTAAGAGGGGAGAAACATATTAAATTAAAAGAGAAAACCTACATTTGTGAACTGTGTGATAGAAGTTTTGCCCATGCTGGTAGTTTACGAACCCATCATTTAATTCACACAGGAGAAAGACCATACTGTTGTAATACTTGTGGAAAAAATTCAGAGTGAGCAGCCACTTAAAAGACCATCAGGTGATTCACACAGGAGTGAGACCTTATAGTTGTCAAATATGTGGAAGAACATTTACACAAGCTGGAAACTTAAGAAGACACCATCTGATCCATAAAAAACACCATTTTTTGTGTTAAAATTGATGTTGAAAGTAGTTATTTTAAAAGATTATGTAAGTCACTTAGAAGACTTATTTTGTGAAGGTTGATGTCAAACTTTTATAAAGGATGAACGTTTTAACAAGCAATAGTTAATCTGTAGTTGTGTCTAAGCAGCATATGGAGGTTGGTGTTGATGACTTGAAAGGTTATTCATTGTAGATTACAATCAAGAAATGAAATACTAAGGATGTATTGTTTTTGTGAATGTTTATGAGAAGGTGTTTAACATAATCCCTTTTAGGAGTATTGTTTGGTTGCGAAAGGTTCTGATTGTCAGAATGTAGAATAAATTATCAGAAGATAAAATTGGCAGCAACGTTATTAAGTAGTAAAAACTATTTTAAGAATAAAGTATTATTCCAGTAGTTAGAACTAAAGTACTAACACATTGTGAATTAGAACACCGGTTTAGTTTTTCTAGCCAAGTTGTAATGTATTGATGAGAAAACAGTATGATGGTATCCATCTACATCAATAAATACACATATTTCCTGCCTATAGAAGCAACAGTGCCTATGTTGCACCCTTTAACTAAAATTACAGCAGTCTGATTCACTTTTTATTTCTTCATTGATGTTTTTTTTTGTCAAGTTCTTGTTTATAATTTTAAAAAAAACAATGAAACTTCCCAACATTCTCATTGTAAAATGTAAAGCAGAAAAGATTTTCTGCAAGTAATCATTTATGTGCAAAAAATCTTTATCATTACTGTCAGACATTCAACAAATGTATTCACATGTGCAACTTTCCAACACATTTATTTTGGATATAACAATAAAAATTAAATAACATATATATTGTTACACACACGTTTGTGATTCACAATCTTAAATTAGAAATATATAACACAACACATGTCACTGAACACTTTTTTTTTTACATATCTCATAATTAATATACATGTGAGTTGCAAATAATAAAACAACAGAATGTTTGCATTAGATGTAGGTCTAAAGTATCAAGAATCCTCATCCAACTGCACCATTAATTCCAAGGCATCAAGTCTACAACAAAAAAGCATAGCTTAAGTTACAATAAACAAAGTACTAAAATTCCATAACTCCTGATCATTTTGCATGTGTATCCCATAGACAAATCGTATTTAATTTTTGAAAAATTTAACTTATCTAACCTAATAAGTTTTGCATTTTAGTTACGTTTGTTAAAAAGTATTTAACAATAACAAGAAATATAATTAAAACAAGAAATTTAGCACTTACTTTAGGCATTGAGGCCATTTTGTACTCAAGTGATTTGCTACTTTCTTTTATAATCCTTGTATTTTGTAAGTGTGTGTGTTTGCCCAAGGAATTATTAATGATACATGTAGCTTTCAAATATGTATTTTAAAACACAAACAGTAAAACAGAATGTCCCGAAACTACTTTAATTTATCTCATTTTCTAACTACTCTTTAACTAGATTAAACAACTAGGTCATAAAGTCTACTAGGAAATGGTGCATTTCAATGGTACAAAATAAAGATGTAATAACCATGTAGTTCACAAAATGCCCTTTCTAATAAATGTGTAATTTAAAAGCATGGAGTCTTGGGAGGAGCTTCTATGGTGAGTGTAACAAATTTATTGATATCTTAGAAAATAAAGTGGGAGGCTCTTATTTTAAATTCTATCCTGTCAGTATCCTGTCTATAATTGATGATTCTAATTGATGAACATTCTGAAACCCACGTAAGGGAAGAAAGAAAATCTGAATGGAGATTTAAGAGCAGAGACATATTATATAACACAGAGAAATTTAAAATGAGAATTTATATAAATATTTCCTTTTTAAATTAAAACATATATATATATAAGAATTTAAATTATATACTATGTTTTGATATCAAGTTTATTCACATGCATCAATGATAAAGTTCTTTAATTAGATTTTGAGTTTAAGTCTGTAAAGAGTGATTTTCTTTAATTACTGTATATTTGAAAATAATGGAAAAGATGGAGATAACAGGCTGAAAGTGAATGAAGAAAAATGTTATTAACTGTTAAACAAAATCTTGTATATCATTGTCATTCCAGGATGTAATAGATTAATTTGATGTTCCTTGGAAAATGTTTCTTTTTTTTTATCATTCTGGTTTGAATCCGTGTTATAGAATTTATCATTTCTTACATTAGGAGTAAACTACCAAGCTATAAGTATATGTAATGTTTGAAGTATTATCTGATTAGTGTATTATGGTATAAAACCATTTGAAAAAGATATACAGGTAAATAAAATTAACTCGGTGTTAATGAGTATGAATATAGTTTCCAAGTAATAATAGCACTACATGTAAAACCAATTTTCACAATGTATTAAGATAACGGTGTAGTCACAAATCTGGAAGAGTCACGAACTTTAAAAAAAAGATAAAACGTTTAAAAAATATTTAAAAAGTTAACCCAAAACTTGGAAAAAGTAGAGAAAATTTAGGGTTTTGTTTTTTCCTCTCGGAACCTACACGTGAATGCAAGCATGCTTCAAACCTGTGTCAATGATTGCTATATTTTAACATTATCTTGATCACTATTTTATCTGGTAATAATTTTATCTAATTCAATATTTAATGATAGATAAATATTATTTTAAAACTAAAAATGCAACATTTTATTTTGTAACACCATATCACTGGAATTATCTTTAATATCAATATTAAAATGTTATGTTTAAAATGTTTTCAAACAATACAGGGTGATGTAACATTGTTTGATTTTGTTTTTCACCAGAATGCATGTAAATCGAAACGTTTTTCTCCCTGCAGTTAAGTTACTTAGAAATTTTGTAGACTGGAGAAAATGTTAATGCTGTTTTACAGATACTAGTGAAAATTACTTTACTGAAGCTTTAGAAGGAAAATACCCATGTCTGCAGTTACACTTGGAAAGAAGGAAATGTCAGATAGAAGTCAAGAAAAAAGATTTTTCAACATTTGATGATGTAGTAGAAAATACTGAAATAGCACAGGTAAAAGTTTATTTTATATTGAATGTTATAATTTTTTTCACATGACATGTTTGTATCCAAATAGTATTTGAATCATCGGCAGTAAGGAGAAGACAACAATCTAAATAATTTTTTTGAATGTTTTTTTCTGGAAATTTAAATAAAGAGAAGAATTTATTATTTAGATAGTTATATAGATATTTTGAATTATTTTCAATGAATGTTTTAAATAGAAAATGATTGTATCTAAATAGACAAGTTAACTTTAGTATTTAAGTTGAGCTTGTAGCATTGTTATGCATCAGTACATTTTTTCTTATATTTTATGTTTCGAAATATTTTTCTGTTTTAATAAAGATTAGGGGAAATTTTGGCTTCACAAATGAAATAGATTTTTGGTTTTAGTATTTTGTATTTGAATGCACAAAGTTTATAAAGTGTAAAGGTAGTGCTGTATATTTAAAGTAATTAAAACAGTTAAGTGACCTGCCTAGACTACTTACATATGATGCTAGGTTTGTAGGGTTCTGAATGAATCTGATGGCTGTGCAGGGCATCTCAATAGCTGCAAGGTTAAACCTATTTCATGACATGTGATACCCATCAAACACCTCTAGTACAAAAGACACTTTGGGCCAAATGGTCTGATCAGAAATGACAAAGCAATTTGCTTATTTAATAAGAGACACCAGATCTAGCGATGCTTTCAAAACTTAAGTATTGGGGTAAGTATTAAAACTCAACAAAGTGACTAAACAAATGTGGAAACTCATGCATAAAATCTTAACATATAAACACTGCTTTCTGGGATGTGGCTCTGAGGGATGACAGATCTATTCCCCAGATACCTTTTCCTTTGCAATGCATAGTACTATCTACCCCCCTCCCTTATGCATATGGTGACATCCTTCCCTTCTAATTTCCTTTTTTCATTGTTTAATGAAGTTTAAAAAGCTTCCCACACACTCACAAACATTACTTTTTTAATCATACAGATATGAAAAATTTCTTACCACTTGTAGATATAAAATTAATTAACAGACACCTTCTTGTTTCTATGTATTTTACTTTGGAAACATTTGTGTGTGGTCTTCTTTTGTAGTTTTTCAGGTCTTTGTTATTTTTGCAACTCACAAAATTCTGTAGTAATCTTGTTTTTAATTCATCAGTACAAAATACTTTAGCTAGTTGATTATGTCACAATTAATGAGACAATACATCAGCGTTTCATTTATGGAAATTGGGAGAAGCTTTGTTTTATTTTTAAACCATTGAGAAAAGAAAATTAGGAACAAAATATCTCATGAAAGAGGTTTTTTGCCAAAATATATCAAAATAACTTTTCATTATACTTAGATACAGTTGAAAGTAAATCAGTGGATCAAATTACAAACATTAAATCTACATGTTAGGGATAAAAAAATTAATAAAGAAAAATATATAATACTGGAAACTGTTAACAAAATATACATACTGTGTTTGCTAACTTTCACTACAAAATTATTTATTAAAAATGCTGAATACTTACACTGATTGAAAGTATTCAAGTAGTGGCTTTTCACTATTGTTTTTAGTACACATGTTGGTCACATGAATCATGAAATGAAAGTAAGGTTATCTTATTCTTAAGAAGCGATATCTGTGTTTTGATGGTAGTAACACATTTCACATTATAATCATTCTTTGTATTAAAACTCAACAGTTGTGTTTCATGTGAAACTGGTATTTATTATTCATTGTTTTTGAAAAATGATAAGCTCATTGTAACCTCTGCAGTAAATTTTTTGGGTGTTTATTGCTCATGTCATAGACATTGATTGAACAAAAACAATAGATATGCACAACTATACAGTGTGTCTAATGTAGTTATTGAGACAGTGGAAGACTTTTATGAATTTTAGCAAAACAGAAAGCAGTAGATTAAATTCTGCCCATTTTTGTTCTAGAACTTTGAGGTCACTCTTCATGCTACTATTATATGAACTAAATAAAAAAGAATTTGTTTAAATATAGTAAAATTTGGTTCCCAATGAGCTTTAATAAAGGTCTTGCATACATGTAAAAATATGATGCTCTTATTTCGAACACTTAAGACAACCAACATATGTGTTTTATTTACTTATTTCACTAGTGATAGACTGTAATCTGATATACAATATTTTGGCTTCAAAAATTTAAAACCAGAGTGCTTACTTCTTGCTTGAACATTTTATGCATTCCATTAAAGGTACTTGCATCAAAAAGATCAACTATTTAATTTTCTCATGGTATAGATGCCTCCTTGAACATCTCCAGAGTCTGTATACGTTTGCCAAGATATATGAGGGATAAGGGATTCTAGAAATTAGCAGTAATACAATTCATTTATTTTTTTATCTTTTATTAGTTTATTGTTATAAAGAGTCTACTTAAATTTATATTAAATAATCTGTTTTATTTAATTTACAAGTAGTCTGTTCTTTTTTAATTATGTGTGTGTGTTGTGTGTAATGAGAAGTATAGGCTGTAGTGTAATTTTTTTTACCCTAGAATTACTGATAAGGTCTATGATTCCATTACCTTTTTAAACATATTCTTCTAAACTCTTTATGCATCAAATTGCTTCTGAGTCATTGGCATGGTTACAGGATCTCTAATAACATACAAGTCAAAACTGAAAATTATAAACACAAATATCATTAATATTGTAATAAATTTCACTAATTACTGCTAAGGTAACATATGTACTTACACATACACATAAAATGAGTGGTTTCACTCAATTTTTGGTCTGTTCTTTAACATTCAGTTTAGTAACAAAATTTACTGAATATGATGCAACATATAATCCCCCCCCCCCCATTAGTGAATAATATAAAAACACATTCAATGATTTAAGCTTTAACAAGCACTTACTTCAAAAACATTAAGTTCTCTCTGAGTGGACAAGAAGTCTTTGTTGTTGTTATCCTAAATGTCCTTTCCTCTCACATCCTTTCCAGAATCTTGTGGGTACTTAATTCATGAGATGTCTCTATGATAATAAGCAACATTTACATATGTAAAAAGGTACCTTACAATATTATTTTCTGTAATAATATCATCATTGGAATGTCATATTGTCTACATTATCTTTGATAATATATTTTTACATCATTTGATGATTCAGTACTCCATTCTTCACAAGCATGTTTGTAACAATGCTCATTTTGGTTCATTCTGCCAACTTTTATGTTCCTATGTATGTAAATTCCACGTCATGTCTTAAGTATTTGAGTTCTATGTTCATGTTGGGAGAGCTTTTTGTTCTGTTGAAGACATAAACTCATTAAATTCCCCAATCCATGTTATCTTAGTTAGGTTTGGTGACACAACATTACTAGAACTATACCTTTGGTTTTATCTTTGAATTTTAGGGTGTGTTACTTGGGGTTGTCTGCAACTTCAAGCTGGTTCCTTGATAAATTGTGGTTTAATGGACTGTTATCATGATGCATCCATATTGCCACAGATAGCTAGAAACTAGTGAATTTATAACTGATATAACTAATTATGAAAATTTTCCTTTTCAAGTAAGTATTGAGTTTACATTCTATTGTACTGTGTCATGGCTGTTGGAATTATCAGTCAGAAGCCATTCCTGTGTAATTTACACAGTTCCTACATTCATAAGTTTTTTATGTCAGTGACTGTTCCTCCCAAGTTGTGCATATTTTTTAATTAGCTTCTCATTATACACTAGTCAGTTAGTTTATCGAGTGTCCCAAGAAGATTTTTTGTGGGTTAGATAGAAGTTGTGGCTAATCGTTAAGATACCCGGGTGACTTGTTCACTAAGAGACCTTAAAATTTTGTGGAAACACACAATCATGACACATTTTATACATCTTACTCTATGAATAATTATACAGCAGCAAAACAGTATTTATAGAAGCCAAAAAATTACACGACAGTCAAGACAATATAAAACAGATGTTTATAGGTTTTGCCATTGTCTATAGCTCAGCTTACAACTTCACATACTTGTAAAATAATATTCTAATACGATATCTTACCTCCTCACACTAAAAGCTTTCTCAACATATACTGTTCTCTATTGGCAGAAATTTTTGCTCGCCACTAGCCTAGATACTCCCACTTATCTCTGCATACTAACATGCAAGTGTTCATGCAGCAACCCTCCACCAATAGGAATGCAACACTACCCTTAGTACTCTCTCTAATTTTGCAGCTATTAATTACTTCTTGATTGGCAGCCTTATTGAATAGATATGTTTTTGCTCGAAGTTTGATTCACTTATCCATAAAGTTTTACTTTCCTAATTTTCTCCTTCAGTGAGATTGTTATTTACCATTTTCATTCTCTTTTGTGGAGAGTTACAAATTATTTTATTTATCTTCCTTCCTTTTTAACTTTTGAGAGTTATGCACTCCCAGTTTCAGTTGGTCACAACTACAGCTGCTGTTACTGCTGCAGCAGAATTACAGATCACGTCCAACAGGCTATCACTTTATAGGTCAAAAATCGTGGTTCCGATTCTGGTCTGTTGGAAGTTGACCAATTTCATGCAACAATCAGAACAGACTGATGATTGTCCTATAAAACCTGCTTAAGGTTTCAGTGATCAGGAAGTTTTGGATTTGGACAGCCTTTTTCCCTCTCTCAGTCGTGTATCATTTTGAAGGATTTGCCCAGACCTCTTTCCCCTTTGGTGGAATTGATTATTCAGGTTTGTTATTTTCTGTCCTTATCTCCCATTTCCTGTCGTTCCACCTCTGCCCTTCTCAAGACTAGCCTTTGGGTTTCCTCTCTCCTTGAATATTGGAGTTTATGCGAGTCATTTTGGGGAGAATTTGTGTTTGGGTTCATTATACCTCAACCCCCACATACTGAGGACAATCATGCTTTTGATTATCATCATTCCAACTTTCCCTTATTTGGACTCACAGTGTTTGGTGTTGCTTCTTCCTTAGTGGGAACTGGACCTCAATAATTCAATTACCTTTTCCCATATTTGTCTTACTCTCACCACTCTTATCGGGTCAAGGGTGGTTAGGGGCCGACTCCTTCAATTTGCCCATATTTGGAGGCCCTTGGCAGTCAATCCATGGGTTCCGAAAGTCCTTTCAGCAAGTTTGGTCCTCTATTCCTTTCATCTACCCGTATATTTCACAATCCAGTTTCCTTCCCTCCTCCTTGGGAACCCCATTTTTTGCTTGCCTGATCCATTCCAGGGGCCTTCATTTCCACCATTATATGGATGTCTGGCTGCTTCTTGCCGCACACCCACAAAATTTTTGGGGTGTTTTTCAACTCCCTTCTCTGCAACTTTTTAACAACAACAAAAAAATTTCAGTAAAAATTTGTTTGTTTTTGTTTCAATAAACAAGTGTTTTTAAATACATTGAGTATACACATAATTTTTTATTCTAATTCTTAACTATTATTTTTAATATTCAAGGTAAGAAACATTAAATCAGTCCTTTTTATAAAGAATATATATTAATTTCCAATATTGAAAGTTTACTTTCTTATTATATAAATTAGTGAGTTTGTAAACAAAGACTTATAAATATAATAAAAATTACTTTATTTAGAATGCTTTTGCCACTCTTCTCAATACACCACTTCCCCAATTTTGGTCTTCTGTTCCTCATCCTCTGATGGGAGCAGTCGTTGCTCTCAGTCAGACTTGGTCAGGTTGGTACCTATATGCATATCTTCCTATTCATCTTCTCTCATGTGCTTGCAGTGTTCTGCTGGTGACTCTGTATTGGCTAGCTCACATATGGTTTCCACTACAGCAGTGGTTTTGGGTGTTGCTTTCCTTTTCTCTTACTTTATCTCCAACACTCATCCATAAACCCCACTCCAGCATGCTTCAACCATCTGTACCAGCAGTCCATCTTCACCCGTGGCTTTGTCTGTCCCTCACATGAAGGGATAGGCTTTTGCATGTAGCTTCCTTTGTTTCCCGTCCTGTGCGTCTTTTTTTCCATGGCTGTTTACCAATGTAAGTGGTACATGTATCGCTGTTGATCTGTCCAGAGGGGTTATTGTGCTTCCCATACTACTGTTCCTCGCCTACTGTCCTTTTTGTCTTGGCTTTTTGAATGGAACCTTTTGGTTTTTCTTTGTTGTGGACTATAGAGTGGCATTATCTGCAATGTTTTGGTTTCCTGAATGTGCTTGTGTTTTTCAATTGCCAGTCTTATCCATGTTATTTCATTCCTTCCATTTTTTCCTGTCCTTCTGGCTCTGCTTCCCTCATTGTGGTCCTCCATGCTTTTCCCCATCCTCCATTTGAACCCTTATCTTTGTGTTCATTATATTACCTTTCCTTGAAGTCCCTGTTCCTGCTCTTGTCGGAATGTGAACAACATGTCATTCTGATGTGTTAGCAATTGTTGTTTGCCACATTTTGTGTCATAGTTCCTATGTTCTCCTCTTTCCTGATTGTTAATTTATTCCCAAGACTTCTGCTTCTCATGAGAGAAATTCTACCTTCACACCCTTTTCCCTTCCCTCCATTTCCCACTTTTATGACCGTTCTGATCTTGCCTGCCTCCTTTGCCTGGTCAGGGCTCTCTGTACTGTGACCTTCCATGGTTCCTGAGTCCACTTGTTTATTCCGTGGAATCCCCACCTCTTCTGTGATCTTTTTCACCATTAACCTTATGGGTTGAATTTGCCTGGCATTTTCTTCCCCTTATTCTGATGTTTGTTGCCTTTTTTCATGTTTTCTTCCCATCGGATCTTTCATCTTATTGTGTCCTTGGATTTACATTTCCATCTTCCACCTTGGAGGACATCATCAGTACTATAACAGTTTATCTGTGGGTGGTAAGTACTCTGTTCATTTTATTTTTCTTTGCAGGGCCCTTATTGCATGTTTGGATCCTGCTATGTAACGACTGTTGCCTGACCAGGTATACTTAATCTTAAATCCACACTGTGCAACCTGTGTTCATATACCATATTAGCTGACTGTGACATTGAGGCTCATACTATTGCTGACCTGATGTACAATTCCAGATACTGCCTGGTGTTGGTTGATTGACTTTGTCAGTGTGTTCTCTAAGCTTTCAGAATACATCATAACACATATCTAGGTCATATTACACCCACTGTTGAGATGGGGTGTTCTGCAGGACTGCTCATACGTATACCTCACATTCTTTTGCTCCATAAGTATGTTTTTCCTGGACCATACACTCATGGACTAACACATGTAAGGCAGACAGGGATTGCTGCCCATCTCTGATGATCCATGGTGTTTGACACTCGTCCTACCATAGACCTGATGTACAATTCCAAATGCCACCAGGTGTTGGATAATTTGCTCCATCAATGCGATCACTCTGCTTTTCAAAATAGGGTTTCGTGGTCACCCATTGCACTGTCTCAGGTGCTACAGTTCTCCAGACTCTCCAACATTTTATTTCCCTTCTTCTAGTGGAGTATGGGAGTCCTTGCCACTTGCCAGTTCCTAACCACTGGGGTGGTGGATCATAGAGGCCTGTCCTCCTGAGTGTGCACAATAACACTCAGTAGAGAGTAGGGTGGTGGCATTCTGCTGGTGTAGATGGCGTGATGCCCCTCCTACTGCAAACCTGATGTAAAATTCAAGATGCTGCCAGGTGTTGGATGTAGCACTTTGCCATATATTGCAGTTTGTCCTTCTGGCTGAGATACCCTCCTTCCTACCATCCACTGGATGTTGGTTCCCAGGGATCGGGTGTTAATTGAAGCAGGAACAGCCATAAAAGTCCTCAAATGTGTTTGGATGGTTATACTCTTCTACCATGGAGTGGACGATAAATTCCCAATGCCACCAGGTCTTGGAGTGGAGACGCACCCCATATAGCCATCCTTCTTCCTACTGTCCAGTTGATGTTAGTTCCTGTTGGATCTTGTGTTGGTTGTAGCTGTACGAGACACATGAATTCCCACGGGTGTAAGGTTTGTTACTCTTCTCCTACTGTGGACTGGACAAAAACTTCACAATCCTGCCAAGTTTTGGACTAGGAATGAATGCCCTCCTGGGCCCTCCATCTTCCTACCATCCACAGGATGTTGGTCCTGGTATTGGTGGGTTCTTGGTACGGAAGTTCCTTTTCCCTACCATTACCCATTCTTGAGGTGAAAGGTAGAGGACGCTCTTATTACTGTGGAACTGATGTACAATTCCAGTTGCTGCCAGGTGTTGGTTGAGGTCAATCTCCCCTTTATGGTCTGTTACACCCTAGGGGGATCCTATTCTTTTTGTACTTTTTTTTAGTCCCTCCTTTGTTTCCGACCTGTTAGCGACACATTCCTAATGAGGGAAGAGTATAACTAGCTCAGAGGTGGTGCAGTTTCCCACTTCTTACACCTCATGGTTTTTCTCAAGGGGGATCATCTTCTCATTGGCCCTACACCTGTTCATTGTGGTAAGGGGTAAGATATTGTATCGGAAGTTAACATTTTTTTAAACTGAAAATGTATTTCTGATAAATACTTACCTCCTCTCACATTTTCCATCCATCCTCACCACTTCAGGTGTGGTTTGGTGTGATCTGACCAATCTCGAAGTGGTTAACAGCTGCAAAATTAGAGGGTGCTAGTTACAATATGGGTAATGTTGCACTCCTATTGGTGGGGGGTTGCTACATGATTATTTGCATGATAGTATGCAGACATAAGTGGCTAGTGTTGAGCAAACATTTGCACCAATAGACGGCTGTATAAGTTGAGAAAGGTTAGTATCTATCTGAAATACATTTTCTGTTTTAGAAAATGTTAACATCTACTGAAATATCCTATACGTAAATAAGGGTGATGACTTTAAAATTAAGTATGATAAGAGTTGGATGTAGAGTTACAAATATGGACTTATATACGATTATTTTAATTTAACCACCTTAATAAAAATAAGAGGACAAGAATAGCTGTTGAAGTTGGGAATAAGTTAAAAAAACAGTATATAAAATAAAATAACCTTTATTTTTTAAGAAACACAATAAAACTAAATAATAACTAAAGGGATGAATGCAGTGTGACTTCTTGATAATCTTCTAAACTTTTATAACAGAAGTTTTTTGTAGGTGGGCTTACTTATTATGATTCTGTAGCTAACAACTGTTCAGGAGAATTCTGTTTTTGGGAGGGTATTTATTTCATTGAAAAAGTGTAAGTTTAATGTTACTTCAACCTATATACTGTAATGTTTCTGATACATTTTTTTACAAGTCTGCTATATATCACAGATATCCAAGTTTGCTGTAAAGATGTATTAGTAGTTGCACTTGAGAGAATATTAAATGGTTTTCTCAGGGAATTGAGAAATGAAATTTTGTTGTTAGATTCAAATATCAAACAAAGATATGTTGTATTATGGTTTTAGAAGTAAAATAGATACTGTTACGTCTCCGTTCGTTGGTTAATTTTCCATAAATTCATTCCGACGAAACTTTAGCGACACAAGTCCTTTCTTAAATAAAACTGGTTTATTCTTTCTGAATATAACTTTGCGATACACTTAATTTCAACAGTCGCGCTATAATTCTCAACGAACGTCTCACATGCTCGACTTCAACAATACTCAGTTCTATTACACACTCTCTGACTGCAGTTCAATTACTCATTACCTAGTTGTCCCGTCACGTTGTGAACATCTTATATATACAAGACTAACACATATCTAGTAAATGCTAGGGCATTCTTGAAGGAACAGGATATTTCTAGAAAAAGGTGGCGTGATACTAGTCACGTGACTTCGCTGACGCAACATGTGATTTAGCAACAGCCAGTAATTTATATGGTGCTCATAAGCATGATTTACCAGCACATACACTCATCTGCATTGATTTTCATACTGTTATGTCACATTAATTAACATGATGTATGGGTGGTCTAAATAATGGCAGTGAAATTGAAACCAGGTCCAAATGTGCCTAACTAGTCCTGAGTTGCAACTATAATTCTATAATTTAAATATAATTTGTGGTTAGGAACTTAGGAAAGTAGAATGTTTCCTTTCATCTGACAATTTGCATGTTGCAACTAAATAGTGTAGCCAGTATTTATTAATTTATTCTTTTAGCCCATTATGTCGAAAAAAGAAAGTGGGAGTGGGGCACAGGGATGCAAAAGACGTCCACAATTTGCAGCTTTGATGGTGGAGTCAAGCAAATTGATGAGAGCTTTCCTTGCTGGAAATGATGACACCAGTAAGCCAGCATCTGTTCCTTTTGATGGCAGCAAAGAAGTCAAAGTGCAAGATTGTGAACATGCTATTTCATTTGAAAAAGAAAACAATGAAGAAACTGTTCTCTATCCTGTTGAAAGCTACAATAATAGTAAACAAGAGGATTCCACTTTGTCAGAAACAAATCCACAGAATAGTGTTGCTAAGCTAAAAGAGAATGACCTAATGAATATTTTAACACACAGAGATATTGGATTTATGAAGTTTGATACAACATGCTCAGCAGTTGTAACACACGCACATTGCACAGAGATTGTTAAAGTTGGAGCACATGAATTTCAACATAAAGAAAGTCCATTTAATGCCAAAGATGGGCGTTCTGTGACTGCATTTTGGTTCAAATGACGCCTTCTGAATGGACAAGTGGTCAAACGGTCCTGGTTGGTGTATTCACCTCTACATATAAAGCAGCATACTGTTTTTGTTGTCTTCTTTTTTAATCTACATATATGACATCAGATAGTCGGTCTTTCAAAACACAGGGTAGATTCTCTAAGTGGAAAAAATTGAAAAGTTAAATGCCCATGAAAATAGTGACAGCCATCATAAGTCATTTGCTGCTTGGAAATAAACTGATTGCCGAATTTGTCTTCAAAGTGGCATTGATGAAGAGCTGCAAAGGCAAATTCAGCAAGAAAAAATAGATGGAGAGATGTACTGTAATGGTTGCTGGATTATACACAATATTTAGCTTTTCAGAATCTTGCATTTCGTGGTCATACTGAGAACATAATCTCAAACGAAAACCCTGTAAATTTCCTGTCACTTTGCAGTTATTAGCAAAGTATGATCCAGTAATGAGAGAACATTTGGAGCGTGTTAAAAACAAGCAAATGTCAACATCTTATCTTTCTCCTGAAATCCCAAAATGAGTTTATAAATCTCATGGCTTCACATGTGCGAAATTATTGTTTTTTCAGCAAGTCGTAGAAACAAATACTATGGTATTCTGTTTGATTCCACACCTGATTTAGCTCATCGTTAGCAATTGGCCCAAGTGATTCGGTTTGTTGACATTGCCTTTAGACAAGAAAAGTAGGAGTCAAAGAGTCATTTATTGACTTTATACAGATAA